CCATTCCAGGTATCTGGCCGCCTCCAAAAGTGTATCAATACTCATTTCGCGTAAATCCACACGGCAGAGAACCCGGTGCCCCGGGACGGAAAGAAGGGGAGAAAAAGAAAGTAAGTGTACCCGTAGCAAGCGCTGTGTTCGCGGTTCACAGCTTATTCTTTCACCTTCTCCTGAAAGCAGACGGCTAATTTTAAATCTGGGCGAATAGAAAGTAGATCCCCCGCATACGTAAAAAAAAAAAAAAAAAAAAAAAAAAAAAATAGGATCTCAACAAGATGGCGATGCGAGCGCTGGAATACACACAAGGCGAGTCGTGTTCTCGTTAAGACCCGCCCCTCCCGGATTCCTGCCCCGCCCTGTTACTACGACCGTAAATAAAACCCGGAGACCGCATCGCGTTTTTCCTCTTCCGCCCCGTCAGTCCTTGAAGCAATTTGCTGGGACCTACATTAACTTTAAAAACGTTAACAAATCCACCGAATAAAATCTCAGAATACAAACGGCTAATCCAGTTAATATCGTATTTGATATGAATTTACTAAAATAAAAAAAAACGCATCCACTTACGTCAACTCTTCTCCGTGTTTTCGCTCCAGCAGCTTGCCCGCAGCGCATGAAGACAGTTCTGAAGCCAACGAGCCAATCAGCGCTCAGAACAACAAGGCATGGTGCTGGTCCACATGGGCACCCGCCCGGCCCGAGCGCGGCTCATTTGCATGGCGAGAGCGTGACTGGCCACCCCGCTGTCTCGAGATCAGAGCTGTCAGTCAAACTCTTAGGGGCGTGGTTTGAGTGAGTCCATGCTGAGCAGCTGAGCGCCATGGTGTCATTTATTTACTCTGGGAAGCTAATGTTCACCGCTTTCTCCCTATCCAAACCTTACAGGTGGCGCTGCCAGCGTTTGCAAAGTTATTTCAAAGTAAATATTTATCTTAGAAAACATTTTTTTAATGGAAAAACTAAAATAAACCAAATACATTTGTTTATCTTTTAAATAAATAAATATAAAATCAACATGCAAAAAGTGTAATTTTTTTGTTACCTTTAAAATGTTTCAGTTTATACACAAGTCAAAATGTGCTTATTTACCATTATGTCTCTTTCAGTGTGTTTTGTTTCTCACTGTTTTATCAAATTTAAAAAATTCTTTGTTTTGTTGCTGTTTTACATACCTATGAAATATTTCTAAAATTATAACACTGTGTGTATACT